GCACTGGCTTAGGCTCCAACCAGGGTGTGGAAGGAACTGGACCGGATTACCACACTCCCCATTCTAGAGGGGAGGCAGAGAAAACAGAGGCTGGGGTCAAAATAGACCTCTTCCAACCAGTGTTGGTGAACTGAGGCTGGAGATGTCCCAAGCTGAGCCCCCAGCTGAGACTAGGCACCGTGCAGTTCTGATGGTGGAAGTGGGGAGTAATGTTTTACTTTTGTCTGACCAGGGTCACCCAGCAGGACACCTGTCAGGTTTCTTCCTCATCTCCTGGCTGTCCTTTGGAAGTGCCCCCAACTCTAACTGCTCCCCAGAGTCCCCTGCCCAAACTGGGACCACCTCCACACCTGTCATGGTCTCCAAGCACCTCCCTTTCCATGTCCAGATTTCCGTGACCACGGGGAGGGGCTGGTGTGAGGAGCTGCTACACCTGCCAGATGTTACAAGCCCCACCCCCATGCCCTGTAAGATGTCTGTGATGATCTAGTTTCGCTCCATCTTAGAGATGTCAGTGTTGCAGTCTACTCCAAATGATGTTTGTTGTTAAGTGCTGTCGAGCTGGTTCTGACCCATAGCGATCCTGTATAGGGTTTTCAAGGAGCGGCTGGTGAGCTTGAACCACCGACCCTGCCATTCAAAGGGACCTTGCAGTCCAGTGCATGAACCTGCAGTGCCACACCAGGACTCTTGTTGTTACATGCTACCCAATCAGTTTCCCTCCTAGTGACCTGGTGCACACCAAAACAAAGCCCTGGTCCGCCCTGCACCAGCCTCACAATTGTTACGTTTGAACTCACAAAATGGGTTCATTTCTGGTTCCTGAGTAGGATCAGGGTTTGGGATGCTGTGCGTTCATCTACTGCCTCCACTCCATTCTGTGGGTGAGCACCCACGGGGAGTGAAGGCACAGGCCTGTTGCTGCCCAGTGTTCACATTAGAACCACACCAGCATCATCAAGACATTAAGGACAATGGGAGGTAGAGGGCAGAGGTGCTTGAGCATCACCTCAGAGGACCACCAAAGGGCCAATGGCATGGTGGTCCGCCTCTAAATGCCTTCCACTTATGGACGTCCCAGAGCTGGGCCTTCCCTCCCCTAATGAGCTAAACATGGCTGGGAACGCCACGCACGTCTAAAACACACAGGGAAAGACAGACATCTTGTGGGCATCTGTTAGTATTACATTGTACATTGGGAATCAATACGTTATCAGACAATGAGAACACATTGTAGGAGTTGCAAACGTTCCATAAAAGATCAGCCAGGTTTCTACAAGAAAAAAAAAAGTTTATTTTCTGGAGAAATGGGCACCTGGTGGCACAGAGGGTTGAGTGCTAAGTACTGAGTGCTGCATGTTGCTGAGTTCAAGCCAACCTGATGGCACCTTACGTCACAGGCCAGTTGACTGCACCCGAGATGTCTCTCAGAGCACCGCCTCAGCCAAGCTGGGGTAATCTCCATCACCTCATATGCATATGGAAGTTGACAATGAATAAGGCAGACTGTAGAAGAACTGGTGCATTTGAGTTATGGTGTTGGGGAAGTCTTTAAAGTCTCCTGGACTGCCAGAAGAACAAACACGTTTGTGTTGGCGGCAGTACAGACTGCTCCTCGTAAGCCAAGATGGGGAGACTTGGTCTCAAGTACTTTGGACATGTGATCGGAACCGGTCTCTGAAGAACATCATTCTTGGTAAAGGCTCAGTGAAAAAGAAGACCCCCGATGAGATGGCTGACACAGTGGCTGCAATAAAGAGCTCAAACGGGAAAACCGTGAGAATGGGGAAAGAGCGGACGTGTGTTCTTACGCTGTGCAGAGGGTTGCCGAGTCAGAGCCTGCGCATACCGGTGGGATTTCTACATGCATGCTAGGGAAACACGGGCAGATGCCCTAAGGCAGAAAGGCAGTATTGGTGCTCCCCCTACATGTGTGGGGTGGACACTAGAGAGGGGGACAAGGGAGAGTAAGTCTGTGCCTTCCCCACTAAGGTACTCTGGAAAAACTTATTTGAGAAACCTTAACAAAAAGGGCAGATGCTGTTTGAGATCCGAAGTCACAACTGGAAATGCACGGGGACCCATGTGGTGTCTTCCAAGGTGTTTTAAGTTCTGTTGTGCGCTTGCTCAATTTCCCCCTTGTCTGTAAACCTAAGCCTGGTTTCCGCCCACTTGTCTCTGAGGATAGCTGGGACTTCCTCAGATGAGTGCATATCCGTCTTGGATGTCCATTACAGGAAAGCTACAGACAGCTGGTCTCTTGGCCTGCCCTCCCTATAGCAACCCCATGTTAGAGAACTACTCCTACAATTGTCTTGACCTTAATCTCTGGGATGCTACAGGGTGGGCTTGAACCATCAGCCATCACGTTATGTATGCAAAAGTGAAATTCAACCCTTTACCATGGAGTTCTCTCTGATGCAAGTAGCCTCGTGTGATTCCAGTGATGGTGTCCCAGTGTTTTCTTGGCTGTAGTCATGAAGAACTGTACCATCAGGCATTTCTCCCCAGGTTTTGCTGGGTGAATTTGAACTGCCAACTTTTCAACGTGTCCATTAGTAGCTGAGAACCAACTGTCCACTCTAGCCAGGGCTCTTGCAAGCAAGAGGAAAACCCAAAGGGAATGTGTAGACTGCTTCCTTGGAAGGGGTGTGTGGGGTTGCAAGCAGAATACTGTAGACTTAGGAAGAGCTTGGTCAGGCCGCTATGTCCATGTGACACATAGAATGCTTGTAGGGAAGCTAAGAAATGTGGGCTTTCTAGCTGGGTGATGAGAGGTATTAGGTACATTATGTAATTCTATAATGCTCTCAAACCACATACCTGCAAGGCAGTGCTATGGATCTTTCTAGAATACATGTAAGGCATGGTTAGGCTTGTTTCTATAAATGTTTTAAGTCACCGATGCATAAGTTACTTGTAATGTGACTTAAAAGTAGAATTTTTTAAATGTAAAAGCAGAAGGAAGTGAAGCATATGTGTTATGTCGTAAGTTGTTAAGTACCATCCAGTCAGTTCTGACTCATAGCGACCCTGCGTAAGGTTTCCAAGGAGCGGCTGGTGAGTTTGAACTGCCGACTCGAAATTCAGTGCTTTCTTACAGAGTCACACCAGGACTCCGTAGTTGGGCTTGACACATACTGGAAAATGACAAAAGAATTGCAACAAAGTTTTTCTTGGTATGGTGTAAGCAACCCCTTAATCTCTAAAAGCGCAACAATGTTGATGTCTGACGTGAGGGAAACAGGTGACACATCACACAAGACGTCAGCTGGCTGCTCTTGAGCAACGTCAAGGTTAGAATACTGCATGTGAACATTCAAGAATTGTGTACTGCTTGAGAGAAACAGAGGCAAGAGGCAAGAGACTCTGACCATTGCGCAAGAGGAAAAGGGGCCAGAAACGAAGTTTGAGACTTTCAAGAACACTGCAAGTATAATGGACTGAGAGAACAAATGGGTCTCAGGAAGTACAGCCAGAATGCTCCTTAGAAGCTAGGATGTTGAGACGTCATCTCTTATTCTTTGGACATGTTAGGAGGGACCAGTCTCTGGACAAGGACATCATGCTGGGGAAAGTGGAAGGACAGCAAAAAAGTGGGGGAAACTCCGTCAACAAGGACTGACATGGTGGCTGCAACGAGGGGATCAAATACTGCAGGGAGTGTAGGGATCGCACAAGACAAGGCGCACAGGACCACTAAGAGTACAGCCTACTTCATGTCCACTGCTGCTAACCTCAGAACCCAGTGCTAGGAACCGAGGTCTCCTCCGGAGACCAGTGGTAAAGGCCTGGATTCTAATGCCTGGGACTCTAAGGTCTCTGGACAGTCAGTCCTGATTCTTCAGTCCCGGTGTTGTGCCGCAGTGTAAGCACCTGGCTGCCAACCGCGAGGCTGGCCCCTAACAGCCTGAGTGAACGCCTTGTGATCTCATCTGTGTGCCTGGCCACTATATTGCAATAGACTAAATCAATTTATGCATCATTTTTCTATTTGTGTTTAAAATGAATTCCCCGCCTGGGGCAGTAGCCACAGGAAACGTCTTCGTAGGATCTCGAACAGCCCCAGCTGGGATGAGCAGACTGACTGCGGCGGAGAAGGTGGAAGAGGCTCGGGGCTTGGTCGGACTCGGTCATTACAGGCCGGGCCAGGCTTTACGTTTTTCCCTCCTCAAACCCACTGCCAGCCTAGGCAATTCCTAGGCACATCACGCTCATCTTTTCCCCTGCGGAGGCACTAAACTAGGTCTCGGTACCGGTCCAACCCAGACACGCCTAGGAAGAAAGGCCTGGCGATCGAGGTCTCAAAGGCACGTCCGAAAGGCCAGCCACTATAAACCCAAAACCTAAGGAGGGAGCACGGTTCTCGGACACCCGCGAGGCCACCAGGGGTCGGAGTCCGCGGAGCAAGTTGGAACCGGTCCCGGCTGGACACCAGCTCTCGGCGGCGGGAACCGCCCTTGAGGCTTCAGGGGGTGACGCGACCGTCGGGTCCGGAAACGAGGCGCGCTCACCGCCGGACCTCTGCGGACAGCTGGACACGCCGCCTGCCTTCTCCTTCCAGCGCCCGGCCGCGCGATTCCAGTTAGTTGTAAATCGCGCACTTTCCGGTCCGGACAACGGTCCTTCCCTCTAGTGGGCGCCTGATGACGTCATAGGCAAGTCACCGCCCCTCAGGGCACGGCCAGTGGTGTCTAGAGCACGCCTATCTCAGAGCAAGAAGGCAATAAACCCTTTCTGAGACGGGAGACTACCTCACACTCGTCTTCTGGTTTGAGCTTTTCCCCTGTGAGCGCCTTCTCTGCCAAAATGGCATAGTTCAGTCTGTCACTATTTCCAGGCAGCGCCTCGGGCAGCCCCAGACCGGGAGGAGGGGCGGGGCCAGCCTGGGCGGGGCGGGGTCCAGGCTAGCCCGCGTCGCGCCGAGGAGCGTTCTTGGGCTGTGCCCTCGGCGGCAGTGGCTCCTGGAGCCCTTGGGCAGCTTGGCGGAGCCCTCTGTGCACGGATGGACCCGGCCGGATTCGGCGGGAAGCGGCCTGGCAGGCGGCGGGCGCGGCGGCGGCAGCAGAGGCGGGACGGGACGCAGGCCGCGGCTCCCTGAGGCGTGCGGGCCCGGCCCCCGGCGGCGGCACCATGATGCCGGGCGAGACCCGCTCGGCGGCGCCCATGCCCGCGGCGGAGCTGTCGCGCTGTCAGGGCTGCGCATCCCTGCAGCAGGTGTGGCGCCGGCGGGGCTGCGGGTCGGGCCAGACTCCATGCATGGGGGGCGGCGGGGCGCCCCGCTTTGACCTCGGTGCACGGTGAGGCCGGAGGTGGACAGTGGCCCCAGTAGCAATGGCTTCAGTGGCCTGACTGCGTGCACTCAAAGGAGCCCCAAGGAAAGCGCCACCCGGGGGGCCAGGGTCTGCGTGCCGAACAAGGCCCCGGAGGGCTGCTCCTCGTGGGGTTTGCAAAAGTCAGCTGAGTCTAGAAAGCAGTCCTTGCTAGGGAGAGGGGGCTGGGGTGGCCAGGTGGGTGCCCACGAGGGGGTGGGAGGTGTGCGGGCAGCGATCTGGACACAGGCCTTGGAGGCTGGAGGTCAGTTCTGGAGTGTGGGGGAGGACAGAGCGCCGGAGACGGGTCTCTGCGAGCTGCTCCCCACCTGGAAATGTTGGAGGTGGCGCCCAGGGCCGGTTGAAATAAGCGAATCCCGTGCTCATGTGCAGCATGCAGACATTTCTGCCTGTCTTTTGTTGGGCTTGAACCACACCAAACTAGCCGCCCGCCACTTAGTTGGTCCCGTCTCATGAATTGCCCTACAGGCTTTGTAAATCTTTAAGGGAACAGACACGCATATTCTCCCATGGAGTGCCTGGTGGGTTTGAACCACGCACCTTGCAGTTAGCAACCTGACGCCTGACCCACAGTGTCACCAGGGCTCCTTAATGTCCTCACGGTTCACACAGTAATCACTTGTTTCCAGTCGGTGTGGATTCTAGCCATCCTGTATATGGTTTCCAAGGAGTGACTGGTGGCTTTGAACCACCGACCTTGTTGTTAGCAGTCCAGTGCTTATCGTACAGGGCTGCACCTCAAATGAGTGTTTGTTCCACAGTGTCTTAAGTCACTGAGCCACCAGGGCCCCAGTTTGCGGTGGAAATTACAACAAGGTTGGAGCCGACTTCAGCCGAGTGGGGGGAACAGCGCGTGTCCACGGAGGGCCCAGTGACTGCTGGGCTTTCACTAGGAGTCCTGGCGTGTCCTCACAAGAGGCGACATTGGAGCCCAGATGGAGGGGCCCGGGATGAGCTCTGTCAGTGTGTCAGTCGGGTGCTGGCTGGGAAGAGCGAGGCGACCTTGTAGTTGGAGTGGACTGAATGTGGAAGGAGGCCTGGAGGGAACCTCAGAAAGCTCGTCCTGAGGGTTTGGGCTTCTGCTCCCAGTGAAGGCCGAGGTCCTGGAGGGACAGTCAGCCTGTTCTGACACCAGCAGTGGGAGTAATCCTGGGAGGCCTCCGGATCAAACCAAAGTGGCCGCGTGCGTCCACTGCCTGCACTCACTCTGCAGGACGGAGTAGACCTGCAGAGCCGGCGCCTGGATCGGGAGGCTCCTGCGCATGCCCCTGGAGTGCCGGCGCTGCAGCGTGTGGCCCTCTCTTTACTGCCAACAGTCTGTGTGTGGGACAACACCGAGAGCCTGAGTGGTGGCGGCCGCTCGTCCTGTCTGATTGCTGCGCTCATGTCACCGCGCAGGAGCAGTGTCTGAGCAGAAGAGAGGGTGCAGGCTGGCGGGCAGTGGGAGTGAGCAGGCAGGAAACCGAGGCTCCGGATGCATGCTGGTTCTCAGGTGTGAGGAGTGGAGAGAAGAAACGGTCCTGTAGAGTGGACACCCAGGGCCCGGAGAACTAGGGTAGAGATGGGAGAGAGGAGGCTACCACAGGGGGTGGGAGTGGGGCTGAACGTACCCAGGTGGCAGGGATTCCGGGGATGGCATCAGGGCTGGCCACTGTCCGTCTAGTTTGAATGTTATTTCTACCCAAGTATGAGGGGCTTTAAGGAGCTCAGCTAGCGTAGTGGGTACGAATCAGGCTGCGAACCGCAAGGTCAGCAGTTTGAAACTACCAGCTGCTCCGCGGGAGAAAGATGAGGCTTTCTGCTCCCATAAAGATTTACAGCCTCGGAAGCCCTATTCAGGGTAGCTATGAGTCGGAACCGACTCCACGGCATGTAACAACAACAACATGAGGGGCTTTGGAGTCCTGGTGTAGAGTTCTGGGTTAATGTGCCAGACTGCAAAGCCTTTTGAACTTCAGGGTCGGTGGTTCAAGCTCACCAGCTGCTGCTTCTCGGAAACCCTATGCAGGGTCGCTGTGGGTCGGAACCAACTTGATGGCACTTAACGACAATAACATGAGTGGCTTCAGCATGTTCAGGGAAGACTCCCTTAGCTTCCAGTCCCATTTCCCCATGAGCTTTATGAAGCCCAGTTGTACTTCTATGGGGACAGAGACGAAACCAGGTTAGATGGGTTGGAAGTTCTTCTTAGGATTGGGGTTTGAGGATGAGGTGTGGATATGAGAATGGGGGGATGTGTTCTTTTGCATCGACCATGCCTGTCCTACTGCCGCACAGGCATTGAGAACCTCCCTGCTTCACTGGAGAGGATAAGCAAACCCAGATGCGGTGATTCGTGAGCCTTTGGTACTAGGGCGCTTCAACCAAAGACATGCAGGACTGGGAGGAGGAGGGAGGCAGACATTAGCAACCTCAAGTCTGTCACCACTCAGTGCCAAGCCCCAGCTGCTGCAAGGATGGAGCCTGCTGTTGGCTTATAAACGTGCTGCAAGAACAAGATTGTCAGGGTGCTAAAGTCCTTCAGCACTCTGTAGGCAGTTGTATAAACAGCTTTGGGGTCTTGCTCTGGCGATACTAGGGACTCGTAGGTGTAAGGCAGGTCCACGTCATTCTGGTCCCCAAGCTTCCTTGTTGAGCCGAATATCCAGATTCTCTTGAGCCCCCAGATGCAAGCTTAGAAGTCTGTGTGGTTGTGCTCCGGACGGATACAGTCAGGACGACCCTGGATGTCCAGGGGCAGAATTGATCTTGGAGAACATACACATGTGACCTCTCATTGAACCTTACTGGACAGCAAGAAGGTTGTGGCCCTGGATGCATCTATTTGGCAGTTTGTCGTTAAGTGTTGTCCTGTTGGTTCTGACCCATAGCGACCCTATGTAGGGTTTTGGAAGAGCAGCTGGTGAGCTTGAACCGCCAACCTTGAGGTTCAACTCGACATTACAGTCTAGCGCCACACCAGGACTCAATGTTGACAGTTTAACTAGGGAGAAAAGCATGAATTTAGCGTAGTGGTTATGAATTGGGCTGCTAATCTCACGGTCAGCAGTTTGAAACTACCAGCTGCTCCACGGGAGAAAGATGAGGCTTTCTGCTCCCATAAACCCTGTGCAGGGTCACTATGAGTTGGAGCAGACTCCACGGTACTTAACAACAACAACAACAATAGTACTCCAGGCCCATTGCCACGGGGTCGATTCTGACTCATAGCAACCTGTAGAGGGTCTTTGTGGATGCGGACTCATCGTTCTCCCAAGGAGTGGATTTGAACTGTCGACTGTAGTTAGCAGTCCAGTGCTCATCCTGCAACACCACCAGCAGGTCTTATAATAATAATAAAAATAATAATACAGGTAAGTTATTTAAAAACTCATCAGTGTCCAGACATTGCTAGAATAGTACTAGAACCTGGTTTGCTCTTTGCCCAGATCCCCAAATTACGGCCACATAGCTATACCTTCACATCAGGGCGCCGGACGAGGGACAGTACTGCCGTCTAGTCCACAGGCCCATTCAAACTGCTTACAGGCTTTGCTGGCTTCTGCCTTTTCTGGCTCGAGGTACCTGCATTGCGCCCCTCGCACTGTCTTTCCTGTTGGTCCGCTCCATGGACGCCATGTTCTTGGGCCCAGAACCGAGGGGATTGCATCAGGAAGCGTGCGTGTTGATGGTCCGTGTGGTGACTTGGACTGCGTCGCTTCACTGTGTCCATGAGTTTTGTTGTAAATGACTGAATTGTAACAGATTGAACTTGTTTTAGGGGGTGACATTCTGTGTGCCCACCCAGCAGCCTTGGCATCACTGACGCCTGTCTGTGATGATCTCCGCGTCCTACGTTCGTACAAACGAAGCTTACTGACTTAATAACTGAAAGTCGGGTCCACCCACCCAAAGGCACAGCTTTGAGACCCCTGCGGGCCACAGTTCTGCTCTGCAGCGGGGGGTCATCTTGGGCTTGAGTTGACTCAGGGATAGCTGGCTTGGTTTGTAGTTCAGTGCCTATCCTATCGTGCCACACAAGAGTGCTTGTTTTGCTGAGTGGGTGGTAACTTGTTCTCACGTTAGTGTTAGCCTTCTGTTGCTCAGGTGGCCCTTGATTTGGCCAGTGATTGCTCTCTCCAGAGCTTCCCTGTGCTGTTCAGGAGTTCCCATCACAGTCCCTGACTCACATACCCTAAGTGTCCATTTCTATGTTGTGCTTGTCCTGCCCCATGCCTCAGGTTGGTCATTACCTAAGGAGTGCTGGTTCCTTGTAGCTAACGTTTCCCTACACTTGCTACTTTGGTGTCATTGCTTGTAGGTGTCTTACGGGACACAGACAGAGTTTGCATGCATACATAACTATTTCTGTATGTATATATGACATTTTGTGTAAAATGTACAGTGTTGCTGTGATGCTATAGGATAAGCACTAGACTTTTACCTTTAAGGTCTGTGGTTCAAACCTACCAGCTGCTTCTTGGAAGCCCTACAGAGTGGCTATGAGTTGGCACTGACTCGACAACACTTGACAACAACAGTGTCTGACACAGTAAGAGACACTGTGATCGCTCAGAGCCTTACTGTTAGGTACCTGCATGTTTTCGACAAAGATCTTCACTATTACCTTGTCATGGCTTCTAAGGGTCTTACAGAACAGCCCCCCAATTGTGTTCATGTGAACAAGCGTAGCATTAAATCCAACCCTGTATTGGTTCTCTCCCAAGTGTTTGTAGTGGTCTCTTTAGCACTGAGACCTCCTAACATGGTCCTCCAGCTGGGTCTTCCTTCAGGCTCACTTGGTGAGTGTAGTAGGCAGCCGTTGGTTCTCAGGCTTTGGAGACCCTAGACCACCCCTGGTTCAATGGTCAGCTAGGATCTGCTAGGAGGGTCCCAGCCTTAATGATGGTGAACGTTTACAGAACAAAGTCAGTGAAGTGACAAGATGCGAGGCCAGAGTTTCCAGGGCGCTCTCCCAGTGGGCTTGTAGGACGTGGTAATGCCACAGCCCGTGTGACATGCTGCCCACCAGGGAAGCTCACAAGAGACTTGGGGCCAAGGGGCTATTTTGGGACTTAGCACTTGATAATACCTGGTGATTGGAATGCAAAGCATAGAAGCAAAGAGGAGGGATCAGTGATTGAGTGGCTGGACAATCTGACCTTGGTGATAGAAAGGATGATGGAGATCCTATGATAGAATTTTGTAAGACTAATTACTTCTTCATTGGCATACTTTTTTTGAACACAAAACACGAGTATACACAAGGATTGTACCAGATGGAATGTACAGAAATCAAATTGACTGCATCTGGAAAGAGACAATGGAAAAGCTCCATTTCATCAGCTCAAACAGGACCAGGGGCAGAGTGGAACAGACCATCAATTGCTCATATGCAGTTTCAGGCTGAAGCTGAAGAAAATTAAAACAAGTCTGTGAAAGCCAAAATATGACCTTGAACATATCCCACCTGAATTTCCAGATCATCTCAAGAATAGATTTGATGCGTTAAGATGCTAAAGATCGAAGAACAAAAAAGGTGTGGGGTGACTTCAGGAAAATCATGCAGGAAGAAAACTCAAGGTCATTAAGAAGCCAAAGAACGAAAAGACCAAAATGGATGTTAAAAGAGATGCTAAAACTTGTTCCCCAGAGTAGAGATCCTGAAACAAGTGTAACAATTGAGAAGAGCGGAATAGAAATTGTCAGAGATTAGCTGGAGAAGACAAAGTCAAATGTTATAATAAAACAGGCAGATCTCTGAAGTTAGAAAACCAAAGGGGAAGGACATGTCAGCGTTTCTCAGGCTGAAGGAACTGAAAATAAAAATCCAAGCCTCTATTGCAGTACTGATGGATTCTCTGTGCAAAATATTGAATGTTGCAGAAAGCATCAAAGTGTGGAAGGAAGAGTTGCTACACGAAAAAGAAATTGTTGATGTTCAGCCATTGAAAAGGAAAAAGTTCACTGTGCACTTAAGGCATTGGCAAAGAACAAGGCTCCAGGAATTGCTGGGAGTACAAATTGAAATCTTTCAACAAACTGATGCAGCGCTGGAGGTGCCTAGTCACCTATGCCAGGAAATTTGGAAGACAGCTATCTGAAGAAAAGAAATCTATTTATGTACATTCCAAAAAGAGATCACCCAACCAAATGTGAAAAGCATTGAATAATATCATTAATATCCCATACAAGTAAAATATTGCTCAAGATAATTTTAAAACGGCAGCAACAGTGCATTGATAAGGAATTTTCAGAGGTTCAAGAGGATTCAGACGAGGATGTGGAATGAGGGATATCATTACTGATGTCAGATGGATCTTGGCTGAAAGCAGAATATCAGAAAGATGTTTACTTGTGCTTTATTGATGATGCAAAGGCGTTGTTGGGCTGTGAATCATGACACGCTATGGGCAACACTACGGAAAATGAGTATCCTGGATTACTTAATTGTGCTCGTGAGGAATCTGTACATAGACCAAGAGACAGTCATTCAAATGGAACAAGGGGACACAGAATGATTTAAAGTCAGCAAAGGTGTGTGCCAGGGCTGTATCCCTTCTGCTATACTTACTCAGTTTGTATGCTGAGCAGATAATCCGAGTAGCTAGATTATGTGAAGAAGAATAGCTTCAGGATTGGAGGAAGACTCATAACAGTCTGCTATATGCAGATGATACAACTTTGCTTGCTGAATGTGTTGTTGTTGTTGTTATGTGCCATGGGGTCAGTTCCAACTCATAGCGACCCTGTACAGAGTTTCCAAGGCTGTAAATCTTTACCGGAGCAGAAAGCCTCATCTTTCTCCCATGGAACAGCTGGTAGTTTTGAACTGCTGACCTTGCGGTTCACAGCCTGATTCGTAACCACTACGCTACCAGAGCTCCTTTGCTGAATGTGTAGAAGGCTTAAAATACTTACTAATGAAGATCAAAGACCACAACCTTCAGTATGGGTATAGGTTGTAACTCAGTGTAAAGAAAACAAAAATCCTTACCACCAGACCAAGAAACAACATTATGATAAATGGAAAAAAGATTGAAATTGTCAACCTTTGTTTTGCTTGGATGAACCATCAACACTCACGGAAGCAGCAGTCTAGAAATCAAATGACATATTGCATTAGGCAGATCTGGTGCACGAGACCTCTTTAAAGTGTCCAAGAGCAGGAATGTCAGTTTGAGGACTAAGGTTCACCTGACCCAAGTCATAGTATTTTCAGTAATCTCATGTGTATGTGAAAGTTGGACAGTGAATCAGGAAGACCGTAGAATTGACGCATTTGAGTTAGTGTTGGAGGGGAAGATTAAGGGTATCCTGGACTGCCAGAAGAGCAAACCAGTTTGTGTTGGAAAAAGTACAGCCAGACTGTTGCCTGAAAACCAGGATGTCTAGACTGTGTGTCATACTGCAGACATGCTGTTAGGAGGGACCAGTCCCTGGAGAAGGACTCATCATGCCTGGTAAAGTGGAGGGACAGGGAACAAAGGGAGACCCCAGAGATGGTCTCAAGCATAGCAGCGGTTGTGAGGCTGGCACAGGATCTGGTGGTGGTGTGTTCTGTTTGTGCAGATGGCACCTACTAACAACAGCCACTGGACACCTGTCCCTCAGATGGATTGGAACTCCAGGTCCCCCAGCAGGAGAGGAGGTGTTCAGCATAAACCTCCTGATTTGCCCAGACAGGTCCTCTGGGTTCCCCTGTCAGTTTGGGGTCAGTGCCCACTCTGGCAGTCAGGTGACGATTGTTGTTAAGTGCCAACCAGTCATTTCCAATTTCTGGTGACCCAGCTTAGGGTTTACGAGGAGCAGCTGGTGGGCTTGAACCTCCGACCTTGCAGTCCAGCGCATTAACTGGCAGCGGCCTTTCTGCCATCAGTGCTGCCACTGTGCCAGTCAATCTTGCTGGGGGTCTTCCTAGTGGCTGGGGGCCAGAGATCCTCTTACCATCCACAATGAATGGGACAGTCCTCCAACCCCTCCCCCACTGCAGGCACATTATCCTGCCTCCAGGACTGGGAGAAAGGTGCTCTGGTAGCATGGAGTCAGGCTGCCAACCTCAAGGTCAGCAGTTCTAAGGGAGAAAGATGAGGTGTTCTGCTCCCGTGAAGATTTATAGCCTGGGAAACCCAGTGCAGGGTCACTACAATTCGGAACCGCCTCCACGGTACTGGTACTTAATAAAAGCAACAAGAAGACTGGGAGAGCTGAAGCTGAGAATCCCTCCCTGCTTCACCTGTTTCTTTATAATAAGGTCAAGTCATCATCCAGCTTGTTTACTTAGCATAACCATTTCCCACCTACATTATTTGGTCTGCTGTCTGTTGACCTCTCAGCTCCAGGCCTGCAGGACTGCTTCCTCTAAGGCAGCCTCCTATGAGAAGGCTTTCTTTCTTTCTAGAGTTTCGTTATGCAAAATACAGTGACCTGGTGTGATGCAGGTGCTGGAGGATTAGCACTGCCCCGCAAGGTCAAGGTGGCTACCAGCTGCAAGGTTGGCAGTTCAAACTCACCAGCCGTTCTTGGAAACCCTATAATAACGTTTTAATATAGGGTCCTTATGACTAACAGGAAGGAGCTCTGGTAGTGTAGTGGTTACTAATCGGGCTGCAAACCGCAAGGTCAGCAGTTCAAAACTACCAGCTGCTCTGGGAGAAAGATGAGGCTTTCTGCTCCCGTATACATAGTGCAGCCTGTATACTACGTAGAGGTCAGGATGGTGGTACTTCATGACACAGACTTTGGACATGGGATCCGGAGGGACCAGCTCCTGGAGAAGGGCAGCATTCTTTGTACTGTGGAGGAAGTCCTCAATGAGACAGACTGGTACAGTGGCTGCAACAATTGTCAGGTTGGCTCAGGCATGGGCATGTAATACATACATGAAGCAGTGTATGGGATTGTATTATACATAACAGTGACATACAAGCAAAGATACAGAGTCTGCATGTGGCGCTGCGGGTTAATGCACTGGACTGCAAAGTCAGTTTGAGCCTCCAGGTGGGCAGTTCAAGCTCACCAGCTGCTCCTTGGAAACTCTGTACAGGGTCACTATGGGTCAGAACTAACTCAGTGGCACTTAACAACAACAAAACAATGTTACAGCAACCCACTAGTTGACTGCAACTGTACTATCATTTTCTTTTTTCTTGCAGAACTTAAATGAATATGTTGATGCATTAATTACCTTGAAGCAGAAGATCATTAATACAGAGTGAGTATCCTCGCATGTGTTTCGTAGCCCTTTGTAGACCTAACAAATTAGCTGAAGCAGGTGGGGGTTTGGGGACCCTAGGGCTGAAGTGAGACTCCAGTTTTCTCCTCTGGGCGCCTCCCATGCTGCCCATTAGAACAAAACTCCTTGTGGTCAGAGTGTATTTGTTATATTTGTTGCAGAAAATGTAAGAGAGGGTAGGGTGTCTCGCCTTTTTTGAAACATGATTATTAGAAACATAGTATATTTTATAGATTACCAAAATAACCGTATCCTTTTCTTTGTTGCAGTAACTTGTTAACAGAGTATCAGAAGAAATGCGATGATATCCTTTCATGCTGGTTTCTTTTGGTTCTTGGATGTGCGGTGTATTTGCCCCCCAGCACTTGGAGGGTGGGGTTTCTGTAAGCAGAGAGTACCTGTCCCAAGCACAGAGAACAGCAGCTCGCTCTTTTCAGTCAATATGAGCTGTCCTAAAAGGTGGAGACCTGTAGTGTTAACCTGCTTCTGCTGTTGAGGCGGCTTTTCCGGATGTCTCCAGCTTCTTGTCAGGCCGGCTCTTGTCACCTGTAATGATGCGGGTGGTGTGGGTGCGGGGTGATGTGGAGCTGAGGCCGATGCTGTGTCCTTGGGTTTTCGTTGGGTTCCTGCAAGAAGGGCCGAGTGGTAACGGGATTTAGAATGTCAGGCAATGGACTTCTAGTCCTTTATTTTGTGGTATGTAGAGCGATTATGTATATACTCAACATCACCTAGAAGCAGGTATGTTTATATGCATGGACTCTACTGGTCAATCACAAGGTGCTCCTCAGACTTAGGGTCATCACTGACTCAGGACCATCTTGTGGGCACCTGTCATGTAGTAGAACCTGTGGCTAAGTTTTTTCTGGCAGGGAAACAATATCTAATCGGTCCTTCCCTATCTGGTCCTAGTAATCCTGCCCCTGAATTGGATTCCTCCCATTAAATAACACACCCCCTACATTGTAGGGATTCACTGCAGTTCTGCTTCAACGTCACTTTTGGGGTGGATTCTGTGATTGATTCACTGTGTCAGAGACCCAAGGCCTCTGCCAGGGCCATTTCTGGCATTCCTGAACTTGTCTGTGATGATCTTTGCTGGTTCGTTCCATCACAACGGATATGTGTGTGATGAGACTGATGATCAAACCAAAGCACAACGTATAGGGTTCATTTTAGTAATTACCTTTTTATACTTCAAAATACATTTGTTGTTGTTGTTAGGTGCCATCGAGTCGGTACCGACTCATAACAACCTTATGCACAGCAGAATGAAAACACTGCCCGATCCTAGGCCAACCTCACTACTGTTGCCACGCATGAGTCAATCAATGCTGCCACTTTGCCATCTTGTTGGGGGTCTTCCTTTCTTTCTCTGACCCTCCACCTTGTTGTTGTTGTCAGGTGCCATCGAGTCGGAACCGACTCATAGCGATCCCATGCACAGCAGAACGAAACAATGTCCGATCCTGGGCCAACCTCACTACCGCT